TAGGACTGCGGCGAATGTAGCTCAAGATGAGTGAGCTTCTATACTACAGCTTGCTCACAGCCTCCATTTAAGCGAACAACCTTCGATATATGGTGTTATGCTGGATACAAGGGAGACTATTTTAACTAAGGCATGTACTTTTTCTCAATCCGTCAGGCCTCCTGGTGGTGTAGGCTATTCCGGCGTTCCTATTTGAGAGGACACCCTCCTGTACAGTATAGAATGACACAACCTGCTAAACGGAAAGTATCGGCTACAAAACGTTTCTGCCGACCAGTGTAACTCTCAGACATGTTCAGCCCCCAGCTCGAGAAGGTACATACTGACTCTCTAGACGAACGTCCCGTCAGATTCCTAACCGAACACGATGGCGATGAGAATGCTTAGTGGCCAGAGGTAACAGAGAACACTACAAAATGGCTCTATTGATTCACTTGCCCAAATAAAACGGTTACAGCGGCGATTAAGCCACCTGACCTGGAGTACAGACATACTCAAACAGGGATTACTTGTACGCAACCCAGTGCAAGGTCCTGGCTCCCTCATTGAAAAGACTTCTGATTGAACTGAATAAATATGAACTGATCTCTTATGACCAACCGTGCAACTGAAAATACTGTCGCTAAGACAAGCATCTACAATTCTGCCACTTAGGTTCTTCGAAAACTCGCCTAAAATGGTTTGGAGATTGAGAGGACAGGCGTTCTCTCTGTTGGGAGAGGGTACTATTCGAAAGCAATAACACTGATGTTTTAAAAGCGATAGGCGAGTTAAGGGGAAAAATATAAAAAAAACATGGGAAGGATGGAGGCGTAAGCGAAGTACAGAGACGTAGGGCCGACTATTGCCATAAGTAGATGCATCGCAATCAGTAATACGAGTAATACCCAAAAACAAACTGAGAGAGAGAGCCGGGGTGAGGATATTAAGAACGATGCCAGGCATAAACGTGACGATCTTGATACAATAGAAAAACGGTCGCATTACTGTCGGTTTTACTGTTAACGGAAGTTCCATCTCGGCGAAGTGGGGAAACTGTGGGAGAAGGGTTGTCGTCAGACACTCAAAAGGTGCCTTCAGCCTCGCAGCCGCAGATATCCACGTCTGTGACCAGAGTTCTGGTACTGTTTGATAACTATTCAGAATAAATTTTCCAAACAACACTGGCATAGCCCTGTTTTAAAAGAACACATCGATGAGTTCTGTCGTCCTCTAAAGTGCAAAACTTAAATAGTGCCAAAAAGACATGCGCGAGACTTAACCTGGATGGTCCTGCATTTAAATAGTCAGCACCACTGAATGAATTGGTACTTGACCTGCCATGCATCAGTCGCGACTGATACGGGAACACGATTCAAAGGGAAAAGTCTTAACATTCACAAAATACGGGGAAGACTCCATAAGAACCAGTGACTGGCCCATAAGCGTAAGACGAATGACCTTTTCGCAGACGTTTTACCGCATCAAGAAAAAAAGGTTATAAAGAGGAGAAAAGAGAAACGGGCGTGCCAGTTGAGCGTGTAAGCACTCTCATGCGTAGAAATTCGGTCAGTGATGGTAGATTAAAGGGGGAAGAAAAATCATACCGCTTTCCGCACTGTTCTTCCGGTTCGTCCCCAGGTGTGTGGAAGAAAGGGACTCATGTGCGCGCAGCTAAATCAAAAAAGGATATATACGTCTCAGAAGGGAGCTAGTAGTGAAGTGATGGTCACTATTCCAATTCTGCCCGAGGACAAGCAGCACAACTGTCCTGTATAAATGTGGGGCGGAGGCGTATAGGTTTTTCAGATCTCTGATCATGTAAATTAACATAAAAAGCGTTTTCTTTTGTCGTCTGAATACCCCATTAAAGACAATTCCTTAAGGACGATGACGGGGGTTATTTATCCTGAATACCAAAATACCTACAGGCATTCAGTAATAAGAAAAAGTATGGTTATCAACCTCAGGACCACGCACGTTCACATTAAAGACTAAAAAAGGCGATTTTCAACTAAAACAGCGTGGAATTAAGGGGGTCTAAAGCGCATGCATGAAGATATCAGAATGACTAGATGCCCTTGGGAGGTCGATATCTACTCCAAAAAATGTTACATAGAAGGATAGTAGGACGAAAATTATCGTGTCTCAAGCAAGCGGACAAAAGCAGTCACGTACCAGGCTATCAGATGGCTGGGGAAACAGTGGAGGGACCGATGTCCCGCTGGAGCACAGTGCTTCGGCTGAAAACGAAGGTGTAGTCTGGGAGATTGCATTCTCGGAAGAGGTTAGAAGACTAGATTCTGAGAAGTTTGGGGCACCAGAAGGAAGACCTCGTCTTGTGGTGGGGACAGAGCCATACTCAACAGTAGCAACAGTCAGAACGGCCGCACCTTCTGGCAATTTGGACTTATCATGAACATCGTGGACATCAGCACCTACCCTTGGGGTAGTTGAAGAACGTGTGACGGCGTCGGGAATACCTGGCACGACACGAAAAAGTGGCACCTAGTATCAGCGAAAAGTTTCCTACTAAGTAGTGATTAACAGGAAAGTGGGCATACATGAAGAGCAGCATTCGGGCAAAGTATGGCCAAAAAACTGAAGTAAATCCCGGACAAACGAAGGGCAGAGCCAGATTTTATTAAAAGAGACGGTAATCTGTCAAAGTGTAAACTGGCAAACAGCTTATCTAAAGCAAAATACCTTAGAAATAACATCTGAAAAAAAAACGAGAATTTGCGGATAGCCTTTGAGGAAGCCAGTGTTCTTTAAACTTGGGACCTTGAAAGTTGCATCAAGCAGACTTCAATTGAAAAGAGACAGTTCAGGATGTACTGATTGGGCCAGAGACAGGGGAGATATGAAACATGAACAAAAACATAAGCTATGCATCCTCACTTTTTGGCGGCACCTCATCCGCCCTGGCTTGTTGAGGGAGCAAGTGTTTGCTGAACCAACGACGGATTCGTCGACTTGCCGGAGTCGCCGTTGAGGTTTGTGCAGGATTCCCGACAGGAATCGGGATATTTGGCCGTTGCGAAGGAGGGGGTGGGGGGCAGGTGTTGGATACAGTCCTCCTTTTAGAAAGCCGGCGAACAAGTTTCGTGAAGAAGGCAGATTCACGACAACGAAAGAGAGGTCTACGAGTGCTCGGAGGAACTGAGCATGTTTCCTGGCATGCCGAGTTATTGGTAGTGCTGACTATCCCGTTATGACAAGCGTAGCTATCAGAGGTTGCGTGCGTCTCGTCTGAGCAAGATTTGGCAAGCGAGCGAACATCCGAATCCAATTCAGCAGTCCCGTTATGCGTTTGAGTCATCTCTTGATTTATTTTGGGATTAATTAGTTCGATTGTCTTGCTATAGGTCGAAGCGTCATCTGTAATATCCAGTCGGGGTTTTCGAAAAGATTTTACAGTAGATGTCTCAGTAGTACTCCTGTTGAACCTATTTTGAGTTATAATCGGTGGCTCTACAGAAGAACTCTTTACTAAAGGCGAAATAATAAAGGAAAATTAAGTCACCTGCCAGTAAATCGGAGTCCTCTGTTAGCATGCCCCGAAAAATTATGGCGACAACTCGTGCCCTTGGAGGCTAAACAGTTTGGTGCTCGACGTTCTCAGCTCGCCCGTGAAGACACAGGTTCTACCCAGTAATTCAGTGACCCTGGAATATTTTCATGCACTCATGCCAAGAACTACACGAAATATGTACGGGGGGTGTTCCATGGGGCAGTCACCAGAACGGTCAGCAGCAGTAACCAAGGTGGTATGAAATACACATGGGCGTAAATCGTTTGTAGAATATGGGAAGTCCCAAACCCACAAAAGACAAAAGCAGACATTAACGCAAATCCCAGGCGGCAAAAGATAAACGCAATCGGAAAAATACAGACAAAAAATGATAAATAAACGATCTTTTAATCCGTAAGACACATAAAAGCTGTTAGTGTTCTGTATACACAGGCCCAATATACTCAAAACTGAAAACAACGCGAATTCACGAGATTAAGTCCAGATTCGCGGACGCAGGAATCCAGCCTAGTGCATTCGAGGGGGAGGGGGGGGGGGGTAGATAGATGACCAGTTGTGGATGAACGTGACCATCGTAGTAGGTCGCTTATTCGCTTGCAGCTGTTGTATAAGTCTAACGCCCATTAACTGGCTTCCAGCTCTCACTGGTGGCTGCTCGGTGATAGGCCATGTCTAGGGGACACACTTCAGTGACCGCCTCGGCCGGCGGACTAAATCAGGTGAGGGTATCTGCGCGTGTATCTCCCACACCTAGTAACACTGCTCTCCTTCTATTTCCCCCTCCGCTTTCTCTCCTCCCTCTCCATTCTCCTTACCCTTTCCAGCACGGTCGAAGTGTCCTTTGGCGAGGGAGGCATGCAATTATGTGGGCAGCCAAGGCCACGGGAATCGTTTTCACGCCAAACCAATGCTGGACCTATAGTGGGGGGGGGCGGCTACCCGACCCTGTTACTTAAATGTGACCTTGTCTACCTTGTTCTTCTTTGACGTACTGTTTTTCGAACTTGGTTTTCGTTACCGCTTTGGAAGGGTGTGAAAGGGGTTAGCCAACAGAACGCCCCGAATGAGGAGGTTGCGGAGAAGTCTGAACAGAAATAGCTATTGCACACTGCCATATTTTCAATAAACACTCTTACCACCAATCTACCCTACTTTACGTGTGCTTGCGCTTCGAGACCGATGGGCTCAGTTCACAATAACTAACAGGATTCCAACGACCCAGTGGTAACGTTAAGGGAGCATACACCGAATGTTGTCCGGAGGAAAAAGCCAAACATCTATCCCCACGTGGCTCCGACATTACAGTTATAAAAGGTGCCCTAAGCAAATGCTGGGTTCCTAATCTCTACGCGCAGACGATGGTTTGCAGACCGCTACACGTGCAGCCGAAGCAAACAAATGATAAACAAAAATTCTTCTCTTCCCCACCCCACGGGCTAGTAGGGTAAGCCCGTTCATTTTGGCAGCCTAAAATGTTCGTGCGCTTTTACACAATATCAGGAACTGCCGACAGAAACTGAGGTCGACGCTGGTACCACGGGGACTGGAGTGACATGTGGTGGATAGTGTCGCATTTAGCGAGGCCCGATTCTCCGAGTAAGGCCAAATGAAGGAGGTGGGTCCCGGCCACACCTTCTTCTGGAACGGCCGCCCCAGGGCAGACCGACGAGACGCGGGCGTCACCTTTGCCACCCGGAACGATATCGTGGAACCCCTGCCCTGTCTGCAGTAGGGCTTGAACGATCGTTTGATAAGCCTCCGCCCGCATCATCGGGGAGGCAAATTCGGCATATTCGTCGACGTCTACGCCCATCAAAGGCAAAAAACAAATTCCACGAGGACGTGCACGCCCTCCTGGCGACTGTGCCGAAGGCGGATAAGTTTGTTGTCCTGTGTCACTTCAACGCCAGCGTCGACACAAACCATGTTGCCTGGAGAGGATTGATGAGTCCCCGTGGTCTCGACGGTTCCAATGACCTGATCCTCCTACGTACCTGCGCAGAACCCGGCCTCATTCTGACTAACACATTCTCCCGCCTTCTGTCGGAGGAGGATGAGATCCGGATGCACCCTCGGTCGCGACGCTAACAGCTGTTGGACTATGTCCTCGTCCGGAGGCGGGACCAGCAGGTCGTGCTGATGACAAAGGCGAACGACCAACTCTCTAATCACCAGCGGATGCATTTCCGATCGCGTGCATTCATAACGACTGTCCGCAAACTTCTCTACGTCGACGACTGCGCTCTCAACGCCACCCCCGAAGCGGACATTCAAAGGAGCAGGGGCCTCTGCGCTGCCACGTGCGACAGATTCGGCCGGATTATAGGCATGGAGGAAAAGGTGCCCATAAAGCAGCCGCCACCCAATGCAGCTTACAATGCACCTGAAGTAAACATGAATGACACCCAACTGCAAGTGGTGCACAACTTCATCTGCCTGGGCAGCACGCTAACCCGTAACACCAAAGTCAACGATGAAGTGCTCACCGGATTTCCAAAGCCTGCATTCTACCATCTGAAACTGTCACGGTCTCTACCTCAGCACCAAACCCAAGACGTACATGGCAGTCATCCTGCTAATGCTGCTATATGGAGCGAAGACCTGAACGATGAATTGTGCAAACCACCGTCTATAGTATTTCAAAAAGTCATTTGCAGAAGGCGCATTCACCACCCCGGTACAAAAAGGAGGGTCACGACTTTACTGCGAAAATGATCGACCTGTCAGTCTAACTTGCATCGCGTGTAAAAAATGGGGCGCCTTATAAAAGGACATTTAATAGTGTACCTGGAGAAAAACAAGATATTTTGTGATGCCAACATGGCGTTCGCCCAGGATGTTCTTGCCTTACGAGTGTTCTTTACTTATAAGAGAAGCTGACAAAGACTGCAGATAAGGGTTAACCGGTAGATTTCGTATTTTTGATTTCAAGGAGGCCTTTGATAGCGCCCCATGCGTGCTTCTTTTACAAAAGATTTGGGATGTAGGAATTCGAGCAAGGATGTCTCAGTGGATCAGGAGTTTCCTGTCCTCCAGAGTAAAGAAAGTCGTTGTTGGTAATTCTACCTCGGAATGGGCAAAAGTGGAATGTGGTGTCACACAGGATTCCGTTTTAGACCCACTGTTCATCTTAATTTATGTAAATGATCGCGCCGGCGAACTACACTGCTATGCTCTCCTGTACTCGGATTGCATAAAGTATGCAGTGAAGTCAAATGGGTTGAGGCGCAAGGAAGCCGCAATAGAGCATCATCAAACTGAGTGTTTGGTCGAAAAGATGACTTTTGAAGTTTAACATGCACCTAAACGCCGGCCGGAATGCCCTCCCAAACATCAGTACTGCATTGACGGGACGGCAACTGAAACTATAGTAGACACGGAAATTTGGGTATATGAACGACCACAAATAAAATGCCATCGGAACAGGAGATGGGTCAGAAGGCTGTTAGTACTTTACACTGGATCAGACGTGCATTTAAAATATTTCCTCCCGAGTTCGTCGGTAGAATTTTAGGCGTCTTTGTAAGACCCCATCTGGAATCTGGAATGCCAGCATCTACACCATGGATGAAGAGGTATACTTGAACGTGTGAAACGCAGAGCAATGACAATGTTCGACGGTCTGGAACGTTTTTCGTATCAGGAGAGGTTCGATGTGTTTGGCTTATTCCCCCTATCACGTAGACAATTAAATTACAGTCTGTTATGGACATTCCGGATTGTCCGAGGCAGTGGTTGTTCACTGAGACCGGAGGACTTCTTTGAGTTTGCCACTACAAGTCAAATACGCGGACATCCCTACCAAGTCAAAAGCGAACGCACGGGATTCGATCGTAGGAAGTTTTCGTTCAGTCAACGGGTTGTCCGACCATGGAACTCGTTACCAAGTGCACGTTTCAAGGAAAACTTGCTCGCTTATTTCCGTCAAAGACCGCATTTTCCAACATGACTACTCACAACCAGCTTTGCAATACGCAATTATTTCGTGCTGAATCGCAGTGAACAGATGCGCTTCGTTATTATTAATGTACTGTGGACCGATCACATTCTGGAGTTTAGCAAATTTATTTTGAGTGCGAATTTGCGAAACCATTGTACACAAGTAGGGTCGTCAAGGTATCTGCCTCTAACCTTTCAAATATATAAGTACATACATTTTGTACAATTAGCCATTGAACTGCACGCTATTTTTCATGGCTTACTGTTAGTTAGACATCGAAAACACAAGTAACCTGGTATTCAGTGTGACAGTCAATATTATTGTGATTGCTATTTGCCTATTTACATTTTGTCCGTACGTTATGTTTTTATGCATACTTTTCTTCTGCACTGACAGCGCATTTAGGCTCCCTCCATAAGACAACTGGTTCTAGTAACCGTTGCTACTGGCCGTTCAGTTTAGATAACATTAATTGATTCTGGTCCCAAGGAATCCGTTTTGATACTTATTTAGCTCTTCTGCTGTGAATTGGTGGATTTGGCTTATATTGAATCAACTTCTGTCTAATAAGGATGTATGAGGATTTCCAGTGGATATCTCGGCAGTATTTGTTTATTTTCCTGTAGTTCTTGCAGCTTTTGATGGCAGCCCCTCGTGATATGGACGTGTTGTAAAGTATTGGTGGCGACAGAATACAAAGAATGTCGACTGATATTCTCTTCATATCCCAGGCCTAACTACATTGTAATTCCACCGTCTGTTTAGGCATTTCTTTACCCTCTTCCCGGTCCCTCCTCTTTATTGAATTTTCCCAATTATCGCCCTCAGAATGTGATATATTATTGTAGACGGTTAATGATTTACCAAAAACTTGCCTTTATTTAACTTAATTTTTCAGTATTTTAATGGATGTAGGCAATAAACTTATCCGCACTTTTTATGATTGTATCAAACAGTTTGGCTATGGTTTGGTCATATTCATGTCTTCAGACGCACTTTCATCAGGCTTGCGCATTTTACAACACCATTTTATTCTACTCTTCTCTATTCTTCTGATGCCGGGTAATCGTGGTCATTTCGGTATTGGTCTCCCCCCGTGTTCTACTGTATAGATTACTGTTAAGTGCTCCTTTGTTTGCTTTGTGTGCAATGCCAAAGCAGCCATATCAATAGAAGTGTATTATTCCGTATTCCGCGTATTGAATGAGAAATTCGCGGGTGCAAGCCTTTTATCTATGAAATTTATAAGCAGCGTAGAATCTTACCTAGCCCTAGACTAAGAGGTTGTAGTTTATCCAGTTCTATTGCGTTACATAATGTCCCCACTCTTTCCCCCAGTTGGTCTCCTCTCTAGGATCGAAGTCCGGTGTATTACTTAACACCTGGTTTGGGACGTACTCTGTTGCCTATTGCCGCCAAAGGGTTACAAACTTCTTTCGTCATAAATCGGATAAATCCTCATGTCAGACATCTACTACGCCGGCCAACACAATGCTTTGAATGAGCCGGAAAGGAGTTCGACACCGTTGATCTTGGGATTTATCGTTGCTTACACGTCATTCGCTAAAGATGATGGCTTTGCGCAAAGACAAAAATGAGGAGGATGAGGGTATCGTTTACCTTTAAATTCTTTCCATTATCGTTGCTGAACAATTTCTACTATCGATCTCATTCGTGTCCCTTTTACCTGGCTATGTAATTCTACTACATATATGTAGTCCCACTGAACAATTGCTCCTGTAACGTATGTAGTAGGAATGTGTAATCCCGACTAAATCAAACTCGAACTTGTTAGAGTATAATTTATTCAAAATTTTTACGCTTTAATAAGTTGGTCTCATAAGTCTTTCCTTTTTCAAGTTTACTCCCGTGACAGCATTCTACTCGCCCAGGGCTAGCCCGGTCACGGGCTAGTATTGCGATTGACTAGATTTTTTGAGCAATTCTAGCAGACATTATCCACACGGGGACAGTAGGTTGACGCGCCTTCTCGAGCGAGTTGAGGGCGTTGTAACCCGAGGCGTTTTAAGTCACCAGACAGGGGCCTAAATTCCGGACATAGTGCGTGCGTACGCTCAAAGGGACCCCCAGCGTGACGTTAAAAATGCACTCTGGTGAGCATAAAGGAGGGGGTGTAGCAGAAGAGCTCCTTCCCCCGCACAGATCGAGCAGTGTCAGCCAGTCAAGTTACTAGCCCACAAGTCAAACGGGCTAGCAAATGTCTAGCCCTGGGCAACTAAATGCTATTAGTGTCTTATTCACAGCACAGCATATGCTGCAGAATCATATTATATTTGTTTTTCCTTATAATATTTAATGCAAACAAAGTCATCCTTGCTGGATTTTTTGCTATTTGGCCCCTCATATTGGTCAGTGGTTGACCTCCACTGTATTCTTTAGTTGCCGTTTACGGGCTCCAGAGAGAGAGAGAGACTCGTTTCCTCGTCTATTATCCATTTACTACTTAAGCGTCACGTCTTGTGTTTTATTTATCCACAGGTGCTGGGTCTATGTACATGAACTTGGATAAAGCAGCTGTGCTTCAAGATGTATGTCTATTCTTCTTGACGGAATCGTTGCTTTCCTATAGGCTCGATTATTCAATGCGAACCAACCCACTCCCCGCAAATGTATCCAAATTCTTACAAAAATCTTGGTCCTTTTCACGCGGGTATGTGGTATTATCTTTATTAAATGGGACGTGTTCTTGTAGGGTGTGAAACTAAACCGTCAGGAGGCGACAAACACCTTCTTTGCGATTACGAAACTTTACCAGTCGCCGAATGTGAGTGGTAGACGCATGTCCTGATTGAACCTGTTGCCCTTTTAGCAAAGTCTCAGGAAACTCTTGTATCTCGTCATCAAAGAACTCTCCCCATTCGCGGATGATGTTATTATTTTAACAAGCAGGTAACTGTCGACTTAGATTCCCTTTTATCTTTCGTGTCGTATGTCAGTCTCACCAAGGATATGACGGGATCTGAGGCGGCTTTCCGGGCTCCGGCAATCCGAACTTTGTGCAAAATAACTGACGTACGTCTAACCAGAAGCATAGCCGTCTTCCTTTACTTTCTCTTATTCTACAATGAAATTGTTTTCTGTTGTTATGCACAGTCTAACCTAAGAAGAATTTATGGCGAGTTGTAGTGTAGCAAGTGTATGGCCAGGCAACTTGAACACATGTAATCGGTCGTATTCCAAGAGAAGTTTTTTGACTTCACGTCTGTTACACAGGGATAAGTGCATCAGGTTTTCAGGTCTACTGTCTGTACTGCCTGCTTATCAAGGACTGAACGAGTCGTATTTGCGGTCATTGTTATTTTCGTGAGTTCCCGACACATCGCAGTTACATGCCATTTTTACGATGTCTTGAGCAGACTTTTATTGTTAAATTAGTAAACTCTACTTAAATTGCATGAATTTATCATTTATGCCTGCATTAACTGGTCAATTACTCTTTGTTTACAGCCTACCATGATACAGGCTATTGAGCGTTACCTAAAACAAGCTGTTGTAGACAAGTCACCACCGATAGCTTCTGCTGTACTCGCATCTGCTTACCATTTGATGCGAGTATGTCCTGATGTTATTCGTCGATGGTCCAATGAAGTTCAAGAAGCTGTAACCGGGCATCGGAACATGGTCCAGTACCACGCTTTGGGGCTTCTCTACCAAATTCGTCGAAACGACCGACTTGCCGTTCAAAAGCTTATTCAAAAATCCTTACAGTCACCTCGGCGGTCCAGTTACGCCAACTGTTTGATGGTTTGTCACTTCATCATACCGTTCTTACTACTTATACTATCTAGATCCGGATTGTTGCTCGTCAAATCGAGGAGGAGGGTGTTCAGTAAGTTCTGTTTACAGTATCCAATGTGGTTGACTGTGTCTGTTTGTACTTATAATGGCACGCATCCTCACTTTTTCCCCCAGCTTCACGTTGGAAGTTAGCTGCGTCATGAGTGACCACTTGTCATAACAGTTGATCACTGATAAGCTCGAGGGAAGTTAGGGTTTTGGGACGGTGGCTTTTCAACGTATAATTCGTGTGATCAGATATGCACAGTTTTCCTCAATTCCAGCCACGCCTTTAGTTAATCCCTTGACGTCCTTGTCATCCGGAGCTGGGCCTAGGGGAGACGATACAACAGACTATTTCACTCCTGGTTCACCTACCTAAAAGCCTAAGCTAATTCAGTCAGAAAGCAAAAAGGCTCAGCTGGTCAGTAGTTTTTATGGCCGACTTTATAGTTACTCATTGAAGTCCCAATCACAAGCTGAATTTTAAAAATGGAACGGAAGCACCGTCAATCGGATAGTTCAGGGCGACAAATTTCTCTCTAAGACACGGGCCATGTCTCACATCACTGGTAGATTTTCTCGACAGGGGCCTCGCATATTCCCACCATGATCTTATTAAAAATAGCACATGTATCATAATTTTCAACAACGTTGGCCGAACGCCGCCTGTATCTGCTTGGTCGCGTGTTTGCTTTAGTTTCAGTCTTGCTCATTTGACAGAAAGTTATGCCCAAGGTAGCAACAGCCGTGCGCTCTCCCAGCAGCCTCCTGTCCAGCATCACCGACTAGCATTCCTGAGCACGAACCCTGGATGATCATCTCCCTTTTGGAGTTCACTTCCAAGGCCATTTCGATTGTCTTACCCGTCTAGAACGCAATATGATATATTTGTGCAGTAGAGTCCCTGTACACCGAAATCTCGTCAGCGTAGTCAGCATACTGCTTAGGCGACCTGTGGCCTACATTAAAGCTGAAGTGTCCTGCGATCTATTCCGATGCACTCAATTCATCTCGTAGTTATGCCATTATGCTGGAAGGACACACCACCAACTAACATCGCTAATCAGTCCGTCTTTTCTCTTCTTGGCTGGTGGATTTTGATAATTTTACCGGCTTCAACAGAATACTGTACTCTATCATGCTTGACCACAGGGAATGTCGATTGGCAGAGGCAAAGCCCACGTAACAGGCGGAAGTTGATTGCTGTACTAGAGGGTTTCGGCAAAGAGAACGGTGCTGATGTCCATGGCCTACCTATTCTTCATTCTTGTTTTCACATCATGGCGTAGACTGAAATAAATGAGAATAAGTAGGAAAGTTTTAGTGACGATTTCAAGAAGTTTGGTGCGACAGTAGTTCGCACACTGTGGTCCGTCGTCCGTCCTGAAAACCCACGTAACGAGAGCGCCTTTCCAGTCAGTAGCACGGTCTCTGTTCCCCCCTTCTGACCACCGTGCGTTGGTACCAACTCGGACAGGGGTTTGCAAATATGACGTTGTAGCTGGACTTCCCTTTGAGTGGGTGGTGTCTGACCGAGTCACCTGAGACGGCAGTTGTTTACTGCATCGTCAGTCAGAGGGGTTCCCGATCGGCGATACACGGCCGAAATCGCAATATTCTCCTGGAGCACCAGTTGTCGTATATGTAGCTCTTTTTCATGTGGTCATTGTGCAGAGACAGCCATAGAATGGAGTATCAGTTGAACCTTGTTGTGCCATCGTAAATGCCTCCTGAGTCGACCGAACATGTTTGCAAGTTATGGGCGACTGTTTATTATATTCTGGCTCTAACCCTCTGGTAGAACGGAGACCGATATAGACAAAATATTCGGCCGCCTCGAGCCTTTCGCCATTCAGGAGGAGACAATTTTTGAGGGAAGCCTCTACGTAGCACCTTTGTTCTTCCATACTCCACTTTCACATCGAATTTGTGTGATTAAAGGACTATGCAGTGATTGATGACTTGCACATCCTTGAAAGCGTTTCCAAACAAGCTGATGCCATTGATGGTCAGAATGCAAAACAATGTCTTGTCCTGCCTGTACTCCGTCGTAATGGCCTGTTGTGTGTAGAACCGTCTCCATTGCGTAGTCCAAGAAGGCAGGCGAGTGAACATACAACCTTCTTGAATGCCATCGTTTATATCATAGCGCGCGCTCGTTCGCGTTTGTTCATGTGAATTGATGGTGCGCCATGAAGTTCACTAGCCGCATGGGCATACCATCGGTTTAAATAGCCATTCAGAGAGCACTTAACTTGGGTGAACTGATCGCAGCAACGAAAGTATGGAAACGACCAATCGTACTAAGTCGAGGGTTATGTCGCACTCTCAGGCTTCGTCACGGGGAATGTTTGGTCGACACAGCCTCTGTCAGGAAAATCACACTCGATTTTCCATGTCCATGTGTTCCTGGCGGAGTAGAACAAGGGACAAAGATGTTAGCGGCGACGTCGATTAGACTTAGTCCTCTGTATTGGCGATGTTGCGTCTTATCCCTCTTCTGAAGAAGGAAAGTAGAATGAATTTTTCCAGCCCTATGGGTCAGATTCAGTGTGTCACTCTTTCCGAAGTATCTTCTCATGCTTCATTGAAATAATATCAGAGGTTCTTTTGTAGACTTCAGCTAGTAGTTCCTTATCCACGGCTCTCTGGCTTCAAAAACGCTGGATTAACACGACTTTCGGCAGTAGATGGTACCGTGCAGTCGCAGCTGTTGGAGGGCTTTGGGAGATATCTACACTTTGGCTACTTTTACCCTTGAATTCACCACAGTCGTGCCATATAGAGCTCATGTTCTCGAAAATCAGCGCGTAAAATCCGGGCCAACCCATTAGGCGAGCAGCCCTTGCCTTGTTGACCACTCGGAGTATTTCCCTCGTGATCCGATTCTTACGACGGCGCCTGGTGCCTCGGAAGTCAGGTGGTTAGATCGTTAGCCGTATTTTGGCCTTGCCCTTTCTGTCGTGGGTCCGAATCCTACCGAGGTCGCCGAGTTTTTCGCCATTGAGTCTCATGAACTATTCAAATCTGCCAAAATTACCTATTAATATTTCGTAAATATTCCTTTTGGGGACCGTCTCACTACCCGCCACGCGCAAAAGCGTCATGTAGCCAGCACCTAGATCTTCAGGCAGGCCCATCTTCCCTAGGTTCCTCCTCTTGCTAATCTGCAATCTCTTGTAATGGCTTTGGACTCTAACTTTGCAGTTCGTCCCATACTCTCTTTCCCATGGTCTGATTTGTTTACCTTTCAGCGGCTTAAGGTCTAATTGCTGCCTTTCCTGCAGGCAGTCGTAGATAAGTTTTTTTTACCAACATGACTATAGTGCACTATATTGAATGTTTACCCCATGTGCTGCGAATGTTACGAGAACGTCAAGGCCTTTCCCAGCTGTGTCCGAACCTAACACTGTTCTGGGAAAAGCGTTTCTTTGCTAAGATAACAAGTCTTGCTTTCTTATTATTAAACAACATAGACGGGCTGGGTGAATTATGTGTTGAGTCGAATAAATTTATCAACTTACGCACCTTGAAAAGAAGTGAGATGCTTCACTGACACTGAGGGGCCTCAGGCAACAACTACTGAGCTTTTCGGTCGTTATCAATCAGTACTGAAACTTCTGCCCTGACCACCATTGAGACTCTCAGTCAGCCGTAGAAAGCGCTTCCGTAGTAGAAAATCGGTGGACGTTAACATCCAGCGATCTCTTTACCTTTAAATATTGGACAGCAGGCGAAAGATGTCTAAGATGTAAAATTTTCTGAAGACCGATTGAAGGGGCGTATACTCAGCGTATACTCAGGCGTATACTCTTAGCTTGCTCGTTGTACCGTTAATCTCTACGGTGCGATTGAAGCCAGCCACCGAAGCCAGAGCTATTGCTCTCACCATACCCCGTTAGGCGCCGGCTGCTGTACAATTCGATCCTTTAAGTCGGTCTCAGTGATGCGTGGCCCTGTTTTATGCTCCTGAATTTTTGTGGCTCACCGATTAGCCTGGCCTGAAGGACGCACATAGCTCATGTAGACCACACAGTTGAAATCATGGTCAGGAGAACTTCTCGTCTGTCTAAAATGTAGGCTGGCCTTTTGGCCTTTCCCCTCCGAACGCGGAACAGCGACCCCAATAGGCGATGTAACTTCGCGTTACGCGTAAAAGCTGTTTCCGCTCTTCAACAATTGGCTCTAATAAACAGTTAACTAAATTGCCCCAGATATGATGCACACAGCTATTCCCCCAAGTCAACTATTAACACTGATATGTCTCTTTAGTAAGCTACTTTATACCGTCACCTCTAGTAGACCGATATTTCATTTTCCCTCTTTTTCGAGTGTAGAGTAGGCACGTGTGAGGTAGACATGCATGCATCCTGTTCCAAGGCGCATGAAACAAGTACTAGCGGGCGTCAATCTCAGCCAGACACACGAAGCCGACCGACAGTTCGACAGTCGTGACCGACAATGTCTGCCGTGTGCTCCACAGCAGGCTGAAAGCATGCACGATGACTTGCTCATGAATTAGTTTATAGTGATAGTAGACTTGCACGGCATCTACCGCACTCTCTCCTCCTCCCCCACCTGGATCCGGTGCCAAAACATAGCCAAGAAGACCGGAGGTCACACTCTATGGTCCACAAAAAACACTTGACCAGGATTTTAACCAACAAAAACAGCAACGATGGGGGGCGGCAGGGATCCCAGCTGGCGCGACATGAGCTGGCCTGTCACAGCACCCCGTATGTTGGCATTTGTTATGGGTGCGCATTCCCGATAACGCATGCCAGAATCCGATCTAGCCGCTGTGTTTGTTCAGCGCATCTACTGCGTGGCTCTTTTTTAAGGGGCGACGAGGCCGACCACTAAGCCCAGAGCGACTGGTGCCCGCCAACTCGACACTTTGAATTCTCCCAGATCTACCTGCACATCCTTCTCCTTTTTACGCTTTTCACGATCACATAGGAAAATCGACCGTCCTGTGCGGACACTTTGGTTTCTAGGGAACAGTACTCAAAGAGGCAAATTAGGGCTCCCCTTTGAAAGTTCGGTGATGGGCCGCAGAAGCTGGACGGGACGGTCACTTCTTGGGAGTAAATTAACCGTTTTGAGTTTAGAGATTTATAGGACTCCCGTACGTAAGTAGAAACATAACGAGGCCTTGGCTTTACTGGCGTCCTCGTCCAGTCATTCTTGTACATCGCTTTTATTCTGTGCCGGGACTCGGTACCGTTTGCCTTGAGAGTGCTACTTTCCTGACTTTCAAACGCCTAAATGGATCACCAGAGAAATGCATGCGAGCGGTCTACTCAAACAAGTTGCCGAGAAAACCGGTAGAACATTTAAATTGACCCTGGCAGAGTGCAATATCTTTGGAAAACGACTTCAGTGACAACTGATAACGTTCAGACGTCATATCCACCTTTCATCAGCATAGATCGAAACGTTTAATTAGGGAACGCTTGATCGTGAGTTGGTCATGCGCTCATGGGATCTGAATTCTCCCAGCTTTCTTGCCAATGGACAGCCGTTGTTCAGATACTCAAGCCCACAGCTTCACTCCTTTTCTAGTATATTTGGTTCTGACTGTTATTACGGAGTTTCTCGTTTAAGTCAGAATTGTTTTTGCATATTCACAGGGAGAACCGCAATCTGTTGGAGTTCCTGGAGGGTATGATGCGAGACAAATCGGAAATTGTCATCTACGAGGCGGCAAGGGCCATAATCAGTCTCAACGGGTTGACCTCAAAAGAACTAACCCCTGCAGTAAACGTTCTACAGCTCTTCTGTTGTTCGCACAAGTCTTCTCTGCGCTATGCGGCCGCCAAGACGCTTAACACAATTGCAACACGCCATCCCACAGTCGTTGCTAGTTGTAATGTTGATCTAGAAACCATGATCTCTGACGCCAACCGAAGTATCGCCACGCTGGCTATTACGACATTACTGAAGGTAGTCTCCCGCCCCCTCCTCTGCCGTATGCATGCGCTTATCTTGATGAGGAACATGGCTAGGTTGACTGTGCGCTTTTGTTTTTAGACGGGCAGTGAAAGTAGTGTGGACAATCTACTGAAGCACATCTGCTCCTTCATGGCGGACATCACAGATGAGTTCAAGGTTGTGGTGCTGGAGTCCATCCGTATGCTTGCTGCCAAATACCCGCGAAAGTACAATGTGCTGCTCAATTTCTTATCCGGTCGCTTGCGAGACACTGCTGGCTACGAATTCAAGAAAGCCGTTGTTGCTGCTATGGAGTCTATCATCAAAGACAATCCAAATGCCAAAAATCTCGGTAGACTTCTTTTTCAAAAAAAAATCAATGCGGTCTCAGATTGCCCCCACTAGTAAAGCGTTAAATATGACCTATTGGAAGACCACTGGAAAGCAGTAAAGTTGCATAACTAGGGAACATTTGCTGCAAGTCGATCGCTTTCTTCGATCCGCATAGGAACTACTTTACGACAATATCTAATGGTTTGGTTCGTAGGCATCTTTATGTCCTTCGCTGATGCTAAAGTTTTCTCCCGCAAAACACCGAACAAGGAGGAACGAATTAAAATGTTGGTTGGGGATGTTAAGTCTGTGGCCTTTGTGGTGGTGCTAGTGGTGGGGGCCTTTGTCGATGGGGAGTCGATTGGGCTGGGGATGGGAGAGTTGGTGGATGTGCTAGGTGTGTGATGAGTTCCGCTGTTGTGTATACCCATGTGACCGAATAGGCCCGCGCGGTGAGCGGATATGCGTGGACGGTGTTGACAGTGAAGGCGGATGCGGAGAGTTATTGGGGGTTTCTGGCACAGGTACGCCGGTCTCAGTGCGATGGATTCGCATGTGACCGGCTTGCTATCTTATAACTCTATGGGAGACCGATCACGGTCCGCAAAGCAGTCGTAGCAAGCGCGATCGGTTCTGCAATTAGGTAAGACCAATCCGCGTTGCTTAGTCACTTGTTTCCGTTATTTTTGCTCAAGCTTTGCCACTTTTAAAAGCCTTTTTTTCGCCGACACCTTAGGTCTACTTCAACTATGTGAATTCATTGAGGACTGCGAGCACGAGAGACTAACACAACGCATCCTCTACCTCCTCGGACGTGAGGGTCCATTCCTGAAACGCCCTCGACAATTCATTCGCTTCATCTATAACCGCATTCTCCTGGAGTCTGCAGCCGTCAAGTGCACAGCCACTACGGCGCTGGCCAGATTCGGCGCCCATTGTGAGGACCTTTTGCCCAGTGTGCTTGTCCTCTTGGAACGGTAGGTGTCTCCCCGTCCGACTTATAAATACAATGCTTGAGAGTTTCGTGCTATTAAAAAGAGTGATATTTGTCACACAGACCTGATGCACGAGTCGTTGTGGAATGGGAGGGACCTACTGAGTGTGATAAGGGGGTAGAGGGGGGGAACACGACAAATTATTCAAGATGACCGCCACTGCTTCCTACTGGACTCTTTTCAGACAAAACGGTATCTGACGTTGGTCGACCGATAGAATTTCTTTTTACTTCGTCTTGCACGTAAGTCGTTAGGGCCTGACTACCATATCATCCTCCGAAATGTATACACGCGAATTCTGTGCTGGAGACGGAAGCGCGTTGGTCAGCGGCTTCTGACAGCAATGGTTTAAAAACAACAGTAAATGCCGAATTCAGTCACACTTGTTGTGACTCTACGTTTTTTTAGCCGGCCTCATGCTGCATTATGCCAGAGCAGGCAGGATTCACGTCTTTCTGCCAGAAACCCCTTTCGGAGATCAAACTGCTATTTGTATTTCGTTCACGAATGCCAGCACCTAGCAGAGCAAGCACTTCCTTCGCATGGCTAATTAGGACGCCTGTTATTTTTATATTAACCCCCTTAATGACGTTGCCAGGTCATGTAGACGTATGGGCAAAACTATAATTACAATTTGCGGAATGCCCGACCAAGCCAGACAAACTGATGTCTGGTCGCCTTTTTGGCAGGAGTCTTGCACTAACGTCTATGGAGTCTCATCACCCAGTTTTGTCACATTCCTCGTGCGCTTCCTTCTGACCTTCTTCGCCACTCGCTGTCTACAGGGTCATGCACGACGATGACGACGAGGTGCGAGACCGGGCGGCATTTTACCACTCCGTGCTCTCCTCAAAAGACCGCTCCCTCATACAGACTTACATTCTGCAAGATGAACTACGCACAAACATGGCTGCCATGGAACGAGCCCTCAAAGATTACATCCAAGCATCACCAGTCGAGCAGGAAAAACCCTTCGATCTCGCCTCCATGCCCATCGAAGAACCGTCGACTCTGTTTGCAACCACAGCCCTAAGCGACTCCTCTACGGCCGGCTTCTTTGATAATGCAAAGGAGTCCGAGAAGGGTGCGTCTTTTCCTTTCTGTCCTTTCTCCTACTGCTGAAAAGTAGATCCCGCACATACTTATCAGTTCCTCCTCAATCCTAGGCGACTTAACCAAGGCCGCGGCTGCTGTGGGTGCCGCCGCTCCAGCTGCAGACGCTAGTGTCGTCGGCACCAGTCGCCTGGATAGGTATGCTGAACAGTTGGAAGCGATTCCGGAGATTAAGAGTCTAGGACCCCTCTTCAAGTCCTCGGCCGAGGTGGAGCTTACTGACCCGGGTGCTGAGTATGTAGTCACGTGCGTAAAGCATACTTTCCGTAGTCACATGGTTCTACAGGTGAGTTGGGCGAAATCAACGCCAATGTCTTTAATAGTTGTTACTGCTATTCTCCGTGCTGTCCCGTTCTCACAACAAAGCTATCTGTTGAGCCAACCTTCAGTTAAACTTGTTTTGGTTTCAGCAGTTTGGTGGGGCGCGTTCGAAAGCGCTCAAGTTGTGCCCAAGAAGAAAAAAATGGGTGCCGGACCTTATTTCGATGTCTTAAAGGGGAACACTGATAGAACTTATTGGCCTTTTGATGTAATTCGTGACTGACTTGTACGACAGACGATCATCTGAAGCACTCGCCCACTAGGTTTCCGTTTTAGAAACATTGTGCACTTTGTTTCATCTAACTTTCGCACACTATGCCTCTGATATGCACAACATATCCACGTGTCTTGTAAATTTTGTCCGTTTTCATTCCCGTCCTCAAATATTCAAACAAGCGGACCAGGTTGACGTCCTTCGTGGCATACGCTATTTATCGCTAGCCAAAATATAAACTTCAAGCTGTGGAATTTGGTGGCAAAGGCTCTAGAAAGGTTTTAGAGATGTCTCCGGGGCTCCAGGGGATTTCTGCCGCTGTGTCCCATGTGACTTTATATTTTCTCAGGCTTATGGGATGCCCAGGAAGGAGTAGTAACTTTGGTGTATTGACAGTTGCGCCATATAGCTAGCTGGACGAAGGGGTTGTTTTGTTCTAATCCCCCTAGTGTTCAGTTTCCATATTTGACTCTGCTAAACCTTGCTGAGCACAACGATCACAACCCCGTGATTGATTCGACCGTCAAGCAAAACTAGTTGAGGGTAAGATGGAGCGCCCTCGACGAAGTCCAGCATTGAATCTCCAATATTGTATCTCCTCTTGACGAGGACTTTATGCCACCTCAACCACTGCGTCTATGCCCCTTTTCAAGTGTAGTTCCACTATTAGGGGATGATGGCCGTAGGCAGACCCCGGCAAGTGCCGAAGTTCGCCAGTGCCTCCACGAGGCGGGGGTGGTCGTGACCTGCGCGTGAATCTGTTTGTGGGGAAACATGCCCGAGTTACGTAAGCCTTACTTTGTCTTCCCACACCCATCGCAGTCCTGTGGGGGGAGGGGAGGGGGTAAGGCCAAGACGATCGGATGTTGGTGTGGACGCAGCGAACGGCCCGTCTACGCGTGCTATGCGCCGCCTACCCTCAAATTTCGTACGCACTCAGCTTGTTTTACGGGTGCTGATCTCACTTGAATGAGTGTCGTAAGAACCACAGTAAGAAGAGCCTTTTCAGCTCGACTCTTAGTCGTGAGTAGGGCCGAATTATTCCGCCAATGACTTTTGCTGCTCCAGATTTATTGGGGTCGTGTGAGGCACGCTCAGACGGACTGTTTCACTCTGTCAGTCACTGCGCTCAATTCGCGCTTTAACTATTAAGGTGCGCCAAGTGCCGCGGCTTGAAAAGTTGCCAACTGACGGGATAACCCAATCAACCTCCCAGGACGGCCTTTATGGCACTCACACTCAGTTGGGACCCGAGCCTCCCCCTCGTTGTTTTGGTGAAAATTTGGCGGACCAGGCGTGTGTGCTACGCACAGACGGGTTTTTTTGGCTTTGTCAGTCAATGCACCATCTCTTGCCTCCGGTCCTCCTAACTCTGTTTTGACACCGGGCCCCAAGAGGGTGAGGAGAGAGCGCAGTAGATGCAGCGCAACTTTACCATCGTTATAAACTAGTTAGCGCGAGGGTCACCGTTCCTGCGTCCACCCGGCTGTGAGCTACACGGTGAACACCGTCGGTGACGACGGTCAAACTGTCACACAGTGAGAGGTGTGTTGATTTCTCACGAGGAAGGTTACGTCAATATCGATCTCACTCTCTTATGTACAAACCGTTTTTCGGCCGTTGATGATGATGAAACGACGGTGCAATATTTGACGTGGCCTGCCACGCATGCGTTGCCGCTCAACTCTTTTTCTCTAAGGAAACTTCGCCAAACGGTATAGTTCCAACATAGACGAAGTGGATGCTAGTACTGCCTCGGCTACTACTACTCTGGCGTGACGACTGAGGCACTCGTGAATTACTAGTGACGTCAGAGGTGTTCTTGGAAGAATGGCACTTCCACATCAATCCCCTATTTCAGATAGTATGAACTGATGCAATGCAAATTCTCTCCACGGCGGAGTGTTTCGCAGTTTCCACTCACTGTGATCCAGTTCACGCACAAGTTATTTCTGACCTTCTTGGGACTGCAATGCTGGCCTTCCGCCATTTTCATGAACAATCTGGCGCTCAGATTTCAAAAGCAGGCCGGATGTCTGTTCCCTGCGTAGTTAACTTAATTGATCCTACCCGCGGACTTTCTATGCTAGCACCCATCTTATTCACCCTCAACTCACTGCTTGTTTCACTTACACAGTACGAGTGCACTAACACCATGGAGGAGCAATTGCTTGAGAATGTTTATGTGGAGTTGGAGTCAGAGGATGAGCAGTATGTGGTGCTAAAGACCATCCCCTGTCCGACATTGGCTTACAACAAACCGGCTTCAATATATGTCATTGTCCAACTCCCGGAAACAGTTTCTTCCCTATGCAACTCTTTCACCAATACCCTCAAGTTCTTCGTTAAGGAATCCACTGCCGGACCCTCGGATCCTGGACTGTCTGACGAGTACTCCGTAAGTGGCTGGTTTATTGTCAAGATGAAAAAAACGATCTGGTTTGCTGGGGAAGTTAAGAGCCCCGGTTCAGACATGACCTCCAACCACGGTTTGTGCCGCTTTTACATCGGTTCAGTTATTGCCATCTACAACAGGTGTCGAGACTTATAGAATATGGACCTATATCTATAAATACGTGTTCAAGTGAGGTCGTGACCTTGGTCGGCATTGGACATCACCTCTACCTAGTTAGGACATGCTGACTTCTGACTGAACATCTCGGGTAAAAAAAATAGCTACCTAGGTGATGCGTACTTTTCCTCCGCTGTTTATTGCCTATATGACCTTGATAGTGTTTCGAGGAAATTAATAGAAGCACAAAAAATTACAAACGAACATGCATATTCCTCAAGAAGTACTGTTTCTGAGTTCACATTATGCCTGAGCGGAGTAGTAAACCCTCGGTTTTGGGATAGCGGAAAGCCGCGCCATATTGTTCTGAGCCGGGTCCAAAATAAACCAAGAGACATGACTTGGGTCAGCGTTGTAGGAACAAAACTAACTGCCACTTTTTTGGTCAAAACATATCCGGGACCAATACTAGAGCCAACTGATCTTTCCCCACTTAGTGCAGTCCTATCATTGCTTGTGGGAACAATTGACACCTGTACTTTATCCTCATGAACCACTTAATTGTGGTGTTTCAACTGGACAGGATCCTCCGCAACTTCTCCCCATACCGCACGGGGTCTTTGACGGCTGATGAGTTGGCAGTTGAGGTTCTCTGGTTTCCCTCTACTTGTTTTTTTCTCTTTGGGATTACATTAAGTGCAGGGTTCGAAAGACACTGGAGCTGTTGATAACTTTCCAATCCCGTTTGAGGGAGTTCTTAGCTTGCAAACGAAACCATGGACGTTTTGAACATCTGCAGAAGTAAACATTCCTCGACTTTATGGATGCGTTGGGTGTTGCGCAGTATCCAGACTAGAGCAGCAATTGCCTACAGATTTGAGACGACAGCAGTAGCTAATATGAGGATGCTACCACAGAAGTTGGAATCCTTTACGTTCAAGAAGGTCCCTCGCGTCTGGGAGCTAGCGGTATGACGGTGAAATAATGTGCGTGCGTCGCCCACAGTGCTGCATCGAGGACCGAGCTGCAGGTCTGTATGAGGCCAGGCACGCCACTCACTGCACCATGCGACACACTACTTAACGGCATCCATTGTCATTATTCACAGTAGATGGCACAACTCACGAAATATTAATTGGGATTCTGAAGTGTGGTTTCTATTAAGAAGATTTATGTGGGTGCCATGCAGCATAATCCCAAGATATGTCAATTACATTGGGAAACCGGTTTGCGAATGTACGTCCTTCCGGCCTCCTGAAAATCGCACTCACTAAACCAACTACGTAAGATGAATGAATGTTTTCAATAATTTTCGACGCCAGACATATTTTATAGAAGGCATGCATAAAAGTTTTTCTTCTTTCAGCCATTTAAACGTACGTCTTCTTCAATTTCAACCCCCGAATACTTTTGAACCCGACCTGCCGTTCCACTTAAATTTAGGGTTTCCGAACTGCAATCTGAACACTTTTCATTTAAGAAGTCATATATGTTATTGCGAAGACGCGATATAGGGCCATAAATATTTAGCAACGGACATGGACCACGCTGTATACTTTATAAGCAGTGCTAATAAACGAACAGGTACGATACCAATTGAATAGACCCTTTATAATTGCGAAATTTCTAAAAACGAGAGCTACTCTCTGTTTGAGTGAAAAATTGAAAACGCAATTTACCCAAAATGAGTAAAAGGGAGTATATCTTTGCAATGTTTCCCGAAAAATATGTAGGGCATCCAATGTGAGTGAAGAATTTATCAAACCTCAGTAGTCGTTTTTAACGATGTGATTTTTGCAGGCAACCGGAAAGACGCGCATTCAAAAACCGGCAGCTGGCACAGTGCGTAGGCATGATGGCAAAAGCTGTCTTCTTAGCGGTCCGCCTTACAGCGATGCGGTATTCCCGTTTATCACGGCATTTGCCGAGGACCAAAGTGCACTGGGGCATACGTGATCGCCTGGTGCGTGCTACCGATTCATTTGTAGAATGCTCTATTTAGGAAGGGCCGTGCCCGTCGGCCCGCCGTCGAGTATCCGAGCGAGTGACCTACATTTACTTGCATGTCGATTATCTTCGAGTTGGCCCTGATTTTTAATCGACGTATCCTTTCTTCAAATCTTGTGTCCAGCTGGAAGACTTGACGATATCTGTCGCTGACCACATTCAACGTGTGCCGAAAAGCAACTTCGCTGGAGCCTGGCAGGAATTTGATGCGGACTCCGAGGTTGAGGAGACCTACTTCCTCACCAAATTCCCGACAATTAAGGGTGAGTTATATGTTAGAAGGCACCTATGCCACTGATGTTGACCTCCGAGTCATCCTGATGAAAGTGCTCTCTACAGCCAGTTTGGGTTTTGACTTTGTGCGATTCCTGATTGCCTTAAATCTTCACAAATGCGTTCGATGATTTTGCCTCATGCAGGTCACCCTCTTAGAGTAGACCGTTTACGCTAGTGCCCGATAGGACCGACGTCCCCTTCCCCGGGCTTTGCGTTGTCACTGTGTGTAGGAATAATCTCATACTTTCTGGGGTCAATCCTTCACAGGTTTTCCCATAATGTAGATCGCGTTCAGGTCGCTGTTTCACCCCTAGGCACTGGTAATGGTCGAGTCTGCTAAATAATTGGCCCAGGAAAGCGCTTCTATTTCTTGGGGGCTTGGCTACGCTGGCAGCCGTGATAACTGAAGTCTTGACTACGGTGGTTTTTCGCTTTGTTGGAAACACGCAGAGGAAGCGAGACAGTTGAGGAAGACATCAGTTATCGGCGTGAAAGACCTTGAACTACCCCACCATCTGCCGCAGAAATGTAGCCGTCATTTCTGCTCGTAAATTCGATCCCAAACAAAACCCAGTCTTTTTTCAGTTGGGACAAATCCACAGGTCGCGCACTCGTGTAAGTTCAAGTCTGCAGTCCGCTATTCTGGAATCTGAGTTGTAAATCAGACGACACATTTTACTGAGGTTGATATCGGAGAATGAAACTCCAGGAGAATGGTTAAGTCTGCATGGCCCATGGTAGTGGCGGCCACCCGATAGAACGGTGCTCGTTGTCCGACAGTCTGGATTCGTAACTCAACCTCAGTCAGCGGCAATAAACGGGAAATGGTACGGCATTTATGTGACCCGATTCCTTCCTGGCCGCGTGTCTGACCGTTGGCAGACCTGTACCTGCGCTTGCTAATACCACCGCCCAACTCGTTCATTTGTGCGTCGTCTGTATCCAACTGAGGCCGCAGGCGGTTGAGCCGGTCGGGCGATTTTTGGACGAGACACAAGCAGCCCGTTCAGTAGCGCGTCCGAACGAAGTGGTAAAACGCCGTAAAGGTTATGTTGGATTTCTAGTTTTTAGATGTTTTCCACAAGCGATGCTTGGATAGATGAGAAAGTAGACAAAAAGGAAACCTACGCAGATTGCAAATTAGTGTCAAGAAATCAAGATGGGCACGCTTTATAAGAACCAAACTGAACTTCGAATTGGGATTACATCGGTTTATTTTCAAAAACAGTCCGCGCAGACCTTGGTGAACTTTTACTACTTACTCCAAAAAACGTCAGTTTTTGCACACAAACAACTGCAGGTTTACGTTTTACCCTTGTGTCGGAGCTCGATTTTTTGATTTGCCAGCCCAGCACAACCACGTTGACTGAAATTCTGTAGTGCGTTTTCAATCCAAAAAGATAACCTTCGTAGGGTTGTCGAATTACTTATTATGCCACATCATGTTAAGGCACTCCAGTCACTTCGAATGAGCTTCTTATCGACCACCTGCACAAAACTGTTTACCGTAAAAATGACTACTTAAGTAGCACGGACTTTCCGTATTGCTTTTTAAGTCCATATAAATTGGGATATATTGTATAGAAGACATGCACACAAATATCTTTTCTCTTGCTCATTTGGTATCAAATCGCGTCTTCTTCAAATTTTATACTTTGACAAAAAGTGCCCTTCGATTTTAAAAAAGCTTTCTTAATTCCCCAGTAATTTTGAACCCGACCTGCCGTTGCACCTGTACTCGGGGTTTCCAAACTACAAGGTGTAGACTTTTTGTTCAAAGAAAATCAGACATCCCTATATGCTATTACGAGGTGTACATATAGAGCTCATAAAGTTTTGTAATGGATGTGGACAATGTTGTCCACTTTATAGGCAGCATTAACAAATGTGCTTCCTGGTATCTACCCTCTTTCTCATCCCTATCCCCTTCTGAAACAGAGATGGTGTCTGAACTTCTAAACCACTTGGGTATGCAACCGTGTGAGCGCTCCGACCAGATCCCGGCCGAAGCCAAACCTTCACACACCCTCTTACTCTCCGGAGTTTTCCGTGGCGGCATTCCCGTTCTCTCACGCTGCAGGCTGGCCAAGTCAATTCAACCGGAAACCGCGCCGGGAGTAAATCTCCAAATTCTCGTCCGTTCACCCGTGCCCGAGATAAGCCAGGCTATCGCGGACTCGCTGAGCTGATTATGAACGGTGTGGTTTCTTTTCTTTTTGTGCTGCTTCCGCCCCTTCACTGCCTTCTACCCCAACGACAAAATATTGGCTTACCTTCCAACATATTCTTCCCCATCTTTATTCATTTATAAAATTTTGGCATTGACTGTTTTTTGAATTCGTGTGGGTGGGTTTGATCGCCAAGCTAAAAGCATAGTAAGCCCCTTAGCGGATTTTAATCGGCTGTTTTGCCATTTTTCCGACAACATCCTAAAATACGAGGTATCGTCAACCAGTCTCATAAGCTCTGATTCGACGTAAGCGCTTTACGGTGTCTAATTATTATGTTACACAAGGACTCAGCCTAAACATCAGATGCTTACGGGCACCCTTTGTACGCCTTGCCCCGGCAAATACCTGCCCGCTGATCGGGTTGTTGACCGTGGCCAAGCGGACTGACAGTTCGACCATCGATTTCGATGATGTCCACCGTATGCCCCTCAGCACTATGGGAGCAGGGACGGTGACTTGCGCAGGGGTTTATAGTGCCAGTAGACTTGCGCTGCATCTACCTACACTCTCTCCTCCTCCCCCGCCTGAGCCCGGTGTCAAGACAGAGTCAAGAAGACTGGAGACGAGGGAGGCCGCAGGTGGATGGCTCGGACGGATCCTCACCTTGGCGTTCCACCACACCCCCTGGTCCACACAACAAATGACCAGGATTTCAACCAACAACAGAGATTGGAGGCTGGCACGACCGAAGCCGCACCTAGGCGTGCCGCCAACGCCTGGTTCGGATCCCACACTGTGGTGGGAGTGCCATAAAGGCCACATTAAAGAGGAGCCCTTGCAGCCTGACTCTCAGACCGCCTCCCGTCAAGGAGGAGGTTCAAGATACCCCGTCAGTTGGCAACCTTCTAAGCCACGGCTTTTAGCGCACCGTGATAGCTTCAAGCGCGTCAGATTGTTTATAATGAGGAGAAAGTGCGCTAAGTCGTCGACCTCACTCTCCCTTCCCACTCCCACACCGCAGCCGCTGTCCGAGCCGGTCAGCAGATCGGAGTGGGAAATGGGCGCGGTGGCTGTCATGGTCGACTGACCATGACTGCGCGCCACGGCACGACCTGGCCCCCCATACACACAACACCAGGATTTCACACAACGGGGGTTGAGCGGCTTGTCTCTCACTTGCGTGAGAGGGCCGTGGAAGGTGCTGTTTCAGCCCGTCCCGAGCCCACCAGTCCGCCACTCCACACAGCACACACACACAACGCGACGAACTGCGTGAACCGAGAGCAGGCGTCAACCAGCAACCTTCCTATTCACGACGCTTGACGTGTCGGGATAGTCTCGGACTCAAGTCACCCGTGCAGCCGAGGCCGCATGGAGACCGAGTCGAGTTGCACACTTCCCACTTGCGTGGATGGAGCGGGTGTGGGGGTGCGCACGTTGGATGTGGTGGGTGTGTCGGGAGTGCGGTCAGTGCCGCTCTCGTGGATGCGCCTGTGGCCGAATAGGCTCATGCGATGCCTGAAAGTGCGAGGACAGTGTGGGCAGTTGAGCCGAGCTTGATGGGTATAGGTGGGTGCTCCAGGCACTGGTTCGCCAGTCTCTGTGCGATGGATTCGCAAGTGACCGACCAGGCCGATGCGTGAGGTGAATGTGCGTGAACAGTGTGGGCATGTGATGTCGGCGGCGTCAGTGTCAGCTACGGAGGAGGCAGTGATGGTGGTGGTGATGGGCGCGCAGGGCAATGGAGCGAGGGTGGGACTGGGCCTGGTGGATGTGCCGGGTGTCGTGAGTGTGTCGGAGTTGCGGTCAATTCGCCAAGCGGACCACCGCATCACTGCAAGTTGGAGTGATAACGAGACATTGCACTCAGTGCCTACCTTAGCAGCAATGGGCGCAGAAGGGGCGTTCCGTGGCTCCGCCATCACTGCCTGGGTACTGTCGTCCGTTCTCGTCTGGTTGGCAACCAAATGCCATCAATGCCTGACTGAGTACATTGAGTATGTGATAAAGGCTGTCCGTCAGCGATCCATTTCGCAGTGAAGCGGTCGTAAAGTTGATCACTTGTTTAGCAGGCAAGCATTTGCCGGGGCTATTGCACACGAGCGTCCGGTGCGTGCACAAGGGTCATATGCAAGTGACTTGTAGAACGTACCTGACTTAGAAGCTATAGTGCGGAAAATAGTGCCCACTGACGACATCCTCCTTACTGACCACACCACGGGGACACCAGTGCTCTTGCCAACAGCCTACTCTCGAGAGATACCACACGCCCGGCCCGACTGTTGCTTCTTCGCATAACACTCTTATGGAAGCAGGTGTGTATTTACAAGAAAGGGCATAACATACACAACCGAAAGAAGGCTGCGCAGGTGTAGCGGTTCTTGCGCGGGACCACTCCACAAGTCGAAGTGTGGTGGTGTTCCACTCGTTGTAGACGTGGAAGTAGACAAGTATCAAAACGGCGGGCGGTGTTTTTGACGGATTTCCGGGTCTGGTGACACGCTCTCCCTAAGCTTCCGGATAACCAAAGCTAAGCCCGTCGGGTCCATGCCGTCTTCAAGCAATCGGAAACACATGGATAACTCCTCTGTTTTCAGTCCTGAAGTGAAAACCGAGGTAATTTAGAGTATTAATGTACGGAGTTTCTGTCCTCAATACCGACCCGCTTGTTGTTTGGCTTGCATGGGCGGCTCAGTGCCGCAATTT